TTTGACTGGTTTCTTTCAGCGTTTTGGTTGGAAATTCCTGCGTCGAATTCGTGGCCGTTTCAAATGGAAATCGGTGAAGCCGATACCGAGTCGATTTCCATGCTCTTCACACGCTCGAAATCCGTAGTTTGGGGAAGAAAGAAACGCTCGCCCGTAACGGGCGACGTTGAAAAATCGGCTGCCCTCAGTCTGTTTTGCAACTGAATGATCTAATTTCGAGAGAATGGATACCCGGTTCTGGTTTCATTTGAACGATTCCAACAATCGGTTCAACGAAGATTTACGACTTTCAAATTTGCCCTATTGTACACGTATCTAACTCTGTTAAAATAATTCAATCGAAGATTGAAAGTAGGTATGTTGTAGAATAAATAAATACGAAATAAATCATTGGACTTTGGCAGAATTTCATTTCAGAAATTTCTCGAGAAGTCTGTTGCCAGATTCAAGTCCTGTCAGATAAAATTCAACGAACTTACGTGCACGATCGAAACGACAAAACGAGGTTGGCACGAGAAAAAAAAAAAAAAAAAAGGAAAATCTCACGAAGATGCGACGGAAGGATGATCACGAAAGAAACAAATCGAACGCGAGCGCTCGATCCTGCTTCGCACTCGAACGATCTAATTTCGATCTCGCTACGTGTTCGCAATAAAAGCCGATCCGACGACTTTCTTCGAAGTTCTGTTCTCTCCTTCGCGAACGAATGGAAAAATACAGCAGCTTTGATTTTCCGCGGCGACGATCTCGTTGACTTTTTGCCGCTGTGAGCCGACCGTGCGATCCCAGGTACCCTTAAGATCCTCTTCACAATGCAATTACGCGGGTCTACGATTTCTCGGTCAGCTCGCGTTATGGTAAACGAGCCGTTTAAAAGTCGTTTCTTCGGCACGACTCGATTTTCTTTTGTGTTTCTATTTTGTGTTTCTGAAACCACGCGTGAAAAGGTGTTCTCCCGTGAAGCGGACTCGCTTCAGACGACGAATTCAACGATGTTTATTCGAGGCCCTAATTGGATCGATGTTATCGACAGCGGGCTTCAAACCATCGTTTTTCGACTTCTCGCAAAGTAAATCGGCAAACAGATGACGCTGTCGTCGTCTTCGGTGTAAACCCACAAAATCATGTAAGAAAATTGTTACAGAGTATCCGTTATCACTTTCTAAAATGGACAATAGCAGCAACGATAACAGTATAGTATCGAATCGCAAACGATGAAACTGCAGCTCACCCCCATCGATGTTATCGATGGCAGTATTCACTGATCGGCAAGAAGGAAGACTCGATCGTGGATGGTAACCTAATTAACATTTCGCACAACCTTTTCTTCCTTTTTTTATTTAAGCTTTGGAAACCTCATTTGAGGTTTGTCACAAAGCTGTATCTGTAGAACCAACCGGAAATAACAGAGGAAATAAGAATATTATCCATTAAGGTTAAGATTAAGGAACTTTGTACATTAAGATTACAGTTTTCAAGGAGAGTGTATGTAACGGAATATTTGGTTTAGCGATTATCATGTCGACTTTTAGGGGCGAGAATGATTCGTATTTGCTGAGATTCTTGATAAGATTAATCCTTTGGTGAGTTAACACTCAGTTACGAGTTTCTAGTCACATCTGCAGCCAAGTTCACAAACGATAACCGACGCGAAACAAGGAAGCTGCCAGATCATAATTCTCTATCATTATCTTAAGATTTTTACGAGCGAACCAGGGAGTTGAGTTTTCGTTATAGAATTGGTCAAAGTAGTTTCTACCCTTGGTCTGTTAAGACAATTGGCTCTTGATTCGAAGAGCGAGAACAAACGAGAAGAAGGCACTCGAGGTAGAAGCAAACCTCGCTAATTTATCGGCCAGATATCCCAGTATGGGAGGGGTTTTTACTCAGTAAAACTTGATGGAGCAATTACACAATCTTTTCAATCCACGTAGCTGGCTAATGTCCCGATCTCTTTGCTCTATCTCTGACCATAAATTTGATCGATGTCACGCCGATTGAAAGAGCAACGTGGATCACTACGGCCGCGATTGTCCGTTATCAGGAATCAAAACGAGGATGCTGCGAGCCAACTTTCTCTCCGGTTTCCCCTTCGATCTGTAACGAGCCACGGGGCAGTAATCGCCAGGCGATCAAGCCGCCGATTGAAGAATGCTGCGGCCTGAGAAAGTACAAGTACGCGAAATCGCAGGTAGAGACGGACTTTTGCAACACCCAGAGGCTGCTCGAGAGGATCCGATACCTGAAGAGGAACGTTCAGGACCTGGAGTACGCTCAGCAGAGTATTAAACGGGTAAAAGCGATTGACTTTCGAATCGATCGAAAATTAAAATGGCGAGAGTATCGTTCAGAACGATACGACATGCGTTAAACAGGAAATCGTCGAGAAGAAGAACACGACTTGCCAGACGCAGGATCCATCGCAGTCGGACGTGAACAACTTCCGGCAAATTTTGGACAATTGCATCAAAGAAATGACGAGGCTGAGAGGATTCTTCGAGGACGAGAACGTCTGGTGGAAGATATTCAAGAAACGGGAGTTCAACTGCTGCGAACAGAAGCTGCCGCATCTGCATGGCTATTTGGATGGAACTATGGTCACTCTGAAGATACTGGAGGAGAAAAACGAAGTGCGAAATTTTAGAGAGGCGAAACTTCGTAGAGAACGTGAGTTGAAAGCTTACCAATTTATCTTTATTTAGTTTGGAGAGCCGGTTGCCACCTCGACACCGACAAAGTCACCTCCGAGTCCCAATTCGTCCAATCACAAAGGAAACTACAGAGAGCAACGCGAAGAGAGGGCTGAGAACCATTCTAAAACACACGCAAACTCGTCCACGAACACTGAAACGTAAGAGAGTCGCAACGTCGCTTTGAACGCTTTTAGAAATTACATCAAGATCAATCGCTTCTTTTTATCCTTCAGAGTCAATAATTTTTGTCATCGATATCCTGAGTCTTGTCAAATTCACGAGGGCAATCCTGACTCGACGAGAGCAGAGACACAGGACGAAACAGTCGACCAAACGCGGTGCAATTCAGAACAACCGCGAACAATTTCGTACGACGAAACGTTCGATAGAGACAACACGAACGACACATGTAAATTTCGATAAAGATACGAATTTTGCGGAATTTCCGATTCACCTGAGATTATATCCATAGATGATTGGTTCTCTAAGAACAACGTTGAGTACGCGGAGAGGCCGTCAATTACATTTAACAGCGAGAATACGGCGAGGAGAGCAACCATTGCTGCCGATATCAGCACGTCGATCGATTTAATACCGGTATTATTACATGCAATAGCGTGCGTACGAATAGAGAGATAATTAAGGTCGTAAATACAGCTATAATTGTATCACGCGAAATTTTATTTCTATTATTTCTTTTTTTTTTTAATTTTTTTGTTTCTTTATTTATTTTCTGGTATTTTACTGGTATTTCACAACTTTCCAAATTCTCACCGTAGGCAACTAAAAATTCGAATTCATTCGATTTTCCAAAAATTCCTATTCCATTCGTAGTTTCTTTTGCGTAAAATTTAAAAATTCTGCTTTGATCCTTTTGAAAAAACAGGTATATATTAGAAACGTAGGATAATGGTTACTTCTTGTTTTTTCGAGCAAGTCTCTCTATTTATGCTACAGGATAATTATCGAATACCGATTTTTCAAAAATTTGAAAACCTACTCTAGTACGCCCAGTACAAAAACATCAGGCCGTCGATTAAGAGTCTGAGGGACGTGCAGGAGAGGAGCTTTTCAATCAGAGAATCGAAGGTTAAGAAACAGATTCATCAGGCGAAAAGTCGACGCTCGGATGTTTAAATGGCATCGCCCGATCGTGAATCGGACGATTGATCGTTTCAGTTCGATCGGGCAAATTTCAGTCTGCCGTTTCTTCTTCGAAGGAGTTTTTCTCCTTGTTTGCAACATGCTGCCGTTCCTAACCACGCGTATCATTGGATAATTTGTGTCGCAAATTCTGCAAGAGCTTCCGAGGCTTACGAAAAGTATGGAGAGGAATGCGAAAGAGGTTAATGAAACACGAGGTTAGAGTATCGATGTTTTTAATACAAATTTGACAAACTCGTTTAATAAAGATAACGCGAAGTACAACATTATCAAAGATATTCTCCCGCGAATTTAAAAAAAAAAAAAAAGAAGAACACAGTCTCTCTGAGAGCATTAGATTAATATTCAATTGCAATTTTTAAAGGAGCACGATAGAGTGATCATAGTAGCAAGGTGTTCGGCGCCTACCCACGACGAGAACTTGAAAATGGGCACCAAAACTATACTGATCGTACGTGAATGGGCAATGGTGCGAGTTCCGCGTTCCATTTCGAACTCGATCGAGGATTCGTGAAAAAGCAAGCATTATAAAATATTTCAGGATATCATAAAAGTTCCAAAAAGAGATTCTATACAGATTTTAAGATCGAAATTCGACGAGAGATCTTCAAATTTGAATATTATACAATTCGAGTATCTCCTCCACCAAGAACTCGTAAAAAAGCAATGAAATACCAAGGATGTTCTAAAAATTTCACTAAACCGGAGAGGTTTTAAACACAGATTGTAAAATTGAAATTCGCGAGAGATCTTTAAACTGAATTTTTTATTATTTTCTCTACTAAAAACTCGTGAGAAAGCAAGCATTGAAATACTCGAGAATATTCTAAAAATTCTCAAAATATAACAATTCACTAAATCGAAGAGGTTTTAAATACAGATTATAAAATTGAAATTCGCGAGAGGTCTTTAAATTGAATACTATACAATAATTCGATCGAGAATATTTTCTCTACCAAGAACTCGTGAGAAAGCAAGCATTGAAATACTCGAAGATATTCTAAAAAAATATGACAATTCACCAGACTGAGGAGATTTTAAAATTGAAGTTCGCTATTGAGGATCTTTAAATCGAAAGTCAGAAACTTTGCGAAGTGAAAGAAACAAGATCAACGCTGCGGCGAACACATAGAATGAAAAGGTATGGAGAGACAACCGGTGGTTAACATCGAAACGGGTAATAAGAAACGGATATTGAAGATGAAGGGTAAAGAGCGTGAACCGGTTACGGTGAATGAAGCGAATGACGATCGATCGGTGTCTTCCGGTGCTCGCGAGAATTCCAGGCAATTGTCGGACACAGACGGAATCCCAGATTGTCACACGGATCGGTATCGCAAGAACGCGGGAGACTTTAGGATGAAATTCAGGCCGCCGATTTTTCAGCGGGGATGCTCGAAACATTGTACAGGGATTAAAAGGGATGACTCGGACTCGAGGTAATTGTCACTCACGCTTCGCCCTTAACACTAGAATTACCGAAAGTATAAAATTTTTCCACCAGAGAATAACGTTAGAATAAATGAAACGGAAAATCTTTACAGTACAACAGTGTACACAAGCTTTTATTTATGTATTTTATGAAGGATCATTCAAGTCTCCAAAAATATACTGTTTCGTATCTATAAAATATTTAACAAAAATATTCAAATGGCTATTTTGACCATTTTGGTAGTTGTAGTGTCAATCCTAGAATTTTGTCAGAATGGACAAATTTTTCCACGGAAATTCGATAGCTCAGATCTACACATCGTATTAGATTTTCATTGTTTCTTCTTTTTTTTTTCTTATGGACAGAAACTTCATTTTTTGATAATTTTGTAGCTTTCGGAATTGTTGATGGAAATTGTAGAGATATTTTCTTTTTTCTCCTTGACACAAGTCACCTATTCTTGAGACTTACGGTCGAATACAACTAGCAATAGTTCGAACGCCAATCAGTACGAATCGGAAACGTTTGTAAGTTGAGTTGAGCGATGCTTCAGTTTCGAATTGACAGTGTGCGGCTCGACAAAGGGGAATCATCTGGCGTACGGGATAAAGAGGAGCAAAAGGATGTTGGAGCAATTCTCGAACCAAGTAAAAGTGAGAATAAAACGATCTGTAATCTGTCACGATCGACTCGACGTAATAATACGCGCCCGTTCGTACTCGTAGAAAACAACTCGGAAATCTATGAAAAAGATAAGAAAAGTGTACAAGAACATTGCCGCCCGGAGAGTAATGGGGTACAACTGCGACCTGCGCGAGTGTCCGAGCACCCTAATGGAGTGCAGCACGACTTCCTGCACGAAACCTGCCATGCTTTTCAGCAAGTATCGCGAAATGAGGGGAAATAATGCGACGAGGGACAAAGCCGAGGAATGCGACAGCGCGGAAGGTACGGATCATGAATTCAAGGTGCTGAAGGATCAATCTGTTGGAACGAACGTGGAAAAGGAAACGAGCACTTGAAACAGAGCACATCAACGTTTTAATTTCGTCCTGATAAACGTCTTCATTTCTTAAGCTTCTGAAAGAAATAGGGGAAAAATTGCAAAATAAAGGAAACTGTACAATAGCCTATCTCTGTTCAACCCTTGATTAGTCCGATGGCATTAAATTACCAACGTTGTAAGAATTAATGTAACCTCGTGTTATCTCGTTTTATCACACATTTGTTAAGATATATTCTCTTATATAAATGTCTATCGAAGCTACTCGCTAATGACTGATCTGTGTTTGTTACTTTATTATCATCAAATTAGTTCTTAGTTCTTCCATTGAAATAAATAAGAATAGGAAAAGAAAATTCTTTTGGACAGAACGAGTTGCCAATCTAAACGAAGAGCAGAGAACCGGCCGTTATATCGTAACGTCGTAAGTCTATAAAAAACGTAAAAGAGAGGACGAAAAGTTGGTATTAATGAAGTGGCACTCGGTCCGCGGCTTCCTCGGCTCCAAACTTCCCTGCCATTCGTCGTCCATTACATATTTAGCCAGGCGTAATGAACGATCGTCTCAGGGGATCCAGTGATCAGCGGGGAATCAATTTGTCGACGGGAAGCCGGCGAGATTGACGAACGAGATAATCGCGGAATGTCCGAGCAAGTCGCGGCGAGCAACTTTCGGACGTCCGTCCGTTGAACGTCGATAATCGTCGAATTATAAATTCTTCGATCGTTGCTGTCACGGTCCATCGAATTTCGACTTTCGACTCTCGTTGTCAATTTCTCTTTTCCCTTTTTTCAAACCCAATTAAAACCGTGCGATCGATGACGTGAATCCACGAATCTACGTACCTGATAGTTATTTAGATTATTTACCGATAACCAACGTTGTAATACGCGAACGGTGGTGAAGGAAAATAAACGAAAGCGAGCACTACTGGCCTTCTTGGTATTCTCGAGCTGGTGGCGGTCGATGCGCTCCTTGGTTACGTGGGCGCTAAGGAGCTATATATCACCGGGCAGGTATTCCCCTGGCAAATCGACTTTTATTGCTTTATAGCGATTGTGAGCCGAGGCTACGTTCCGTGGCGCATGTGTAATCTGGATGTAAGGAGCTCGTTATTACCGCGGGCCCATTCACAACGCGATTTCTTTTCAACGATGGACACCATGTCGTTGTGGCGGTCGATTCGGGCTTTGACCACCTCGATTAACTGTCGCAAACTGACGACGTTATCGCTCCGTTCTTCCCCCCCCTTTTTTTTTTTCTTTTTCATTTCCATTTTCTTTCGTATCCGTCGTTGCTGTTATTTACAGTGTTTCACGGTGTTCCGGAGGAACGACCAGCACGACGCGTCAACGGCCTGACGAAGAGATCGATGCTCGTTGACTTTAATTACGAGAAGGTTGGACGAAGATGACGAAGCTAGTAGTACATCATAGATTATCTTCTTTTTGAAGAAACGAATACAGATACGAATCGTCACGCGTTAAAAATCCATCGCCGTTTTAGTTAATTTTGTTCAATTTGAGGTAGGTACGTTGCCTGTTTGATAGTTTCAGGATAATTATTGTATTTTATAGAACTTTGTACATTTCCTACTAGATTCTATTACAAACTTATTTCGTTGACACTTGCATTTAAAATTAGTCCGATGGGAAAAATGACGAAGCTAGTAGACATGGAGATTTCTTTTTAAACAGATGAATAAACGAGTCATTTTTGTACAGATACAAATCATTACACGTTAAAAGTTCACTGCCACTCTAGTTAATTTTTTTCGATTTAAAGCAGAGACATGATTGTTCGAAAGTTTTGGGATAATTATTATTCAGTGAAGAGCATAATTGTGTACCAATAACAATGAAAAATTGTGAATCATTTAAATAACTGATATAACTTTGTAGAAAAAGATTATATATCTTTTAAAGAGCGAAACTTCTATTTTGATAGTCACGAATTCTTTTCAAGATGATTTTGTATCGAGTGGCCGATGGGAAACTGAGGACACATCTTCCTCGAAAATAGTAAAAATGCAAACTGTGTGTAAAAATATTAAAAATCTGTTTTTCATGACTAGATCCACCATCATTTTGAAGATTGAAATTTCTCCTTCACGATAATTCTCTAAAACTTGTTCTACAATATTTTCTTCACTGTTTTATTGAATGTCGAACATTAGGGTTAAACAGCAAAAATTTAAAAATCCCAACGTTTCGTCATTTATCTCTAATGTTCCAAATTCAATAAAAGAAAGAGAAAAAAATCGCACAGCGAGTTTTAAGTGATCGTTGTAAGTAAAAAAATTTCAATCTTCAAGACCATGGTAGATTCAGTTATAAGAAAAATTTTTTAATATTTCTACAAAAATGTAAAATCATTTCCGAAAGCAACAAATTCGCAAAGTTGTCAAAGTACAAGCTTCATGTTTTAAAATGAGACTTCATGTTTTAAAATGTATCATTATACGATCTTTTCTTTTTTATAAAGTTGTATCAGTCTAAATCGACAATTTTTCATTGTCATCGGCACAGTTATTTATGGCTCGTCATTGTGTTTCATAGAACATTATACATTTATTTCTAAACATTTTATTACAGGCTCATCTCGTCGAAACTTGCATTTAAAATTAATAAATGTCCGACGATATCACGTTTATCAAAACGAAAAGAAACGCGAACGCGCGAAGAAAAGGAAGCAAGCGGCCTTGGTCGACTGTCAATTGCCATTTTGCATTCTCTGACTCGCGCGTTTCTTTCTCCGTTGTGGCGAGCTGTCGATGCCCAACCGCTCAATCCGTGTGATTAACCTTCGACAGATCCTGTCGAGGACAATTTTCCACGATTGCAAGTTCATTTAGCGACACCCTCCTCTTCCTCCTCTTCCTCCTCTTTCTTCGGTAACGCGCAACACGAGCCAGCGAGGCACAGCTCGAAGATCGAACCGGGCACGAATGCCGTGTTTTCCTTATTGGCCGATTGAATAATACATGGGAACCGAATAGTATTAGAGCGACGGAGCGCGACACGCGATGCCCATGACGGCTGTCATGTCGTGCAGGTCATGCGTCACGGTTTTGACGAGTTGTTTAGCCCCGGCCGATTTATCGACCCCCGTGATGCAGCCTCTTCGCGCACCATCTGCTCTCTCTTTCTCTCTCTCTTTCTCTCTCATCTTTTTCCCCTCTCGCCGTGCACCAACACGACGATTAATAACGCCCCGGATCGAGATAAGAGGCAGGCCGCGATTTATGGGAAATTATCTTGACCTATGAATTATACTTCACGCGGTTATTATAGGTTTTCAGGTTGGTCATCTTGAAATCGAGTTACACGTTTCGGGCATACTTTCTCGGCCGATTGTTTTTCGACGGCTGTTAGATGGCACGGCCGATTGGAGGAGGGTTTGCGCAACGGACGAGAACAACGGACGGTAATTATATCGGATGTTTAACCTTTTGCGCTTCGAATGACGTGCCACGCACGTCGAGAATTTTTTCTTCCAAAATTGTTACATTTTCTCGGCACTGAGTATATTTAAGTGAAACAAAATAAATTCAATTACTTCTCAATAATTTCTGTGATAATTCCGTGATTAATTCTGTGATTAATTAATCCCAGTGATATTCATACCGACGAGTTGAGGAAGAAAGCGACGAATTATTGTATACGGTATTTGGTCACTCGTTATGGTCCGTAGTCAGTTGCCGGCGCAAGTGGTTAAGGGAATCGTTCTTGTCTCGAAATCGAATTCGAACGGAGATTTGAGAAAATATGGCCAAACACCCTGGTTAATATTTAATTTAATAATATCTTGAGATTAAATAGGAAACGTGACTCGATCTATTAATTATTATCGTGACCCCTAACAACCTGTTAAATTCCTATGAATTTTGAAAAATAGACTAATGAAGAATTCACTTTCAACTCGAACAATCTTTCGTAAGTCCCTTGATCAGCATGTAAATTTAGGTACAAGTTTAAAGGTTCGAAATTCGTAGATAGAAAAATATTGAGGACATCTTCTTCAACTTCTCTTGTACAGTATAGCTCGATGCTCTTGATCGTGACGGTGGTACGAATCTCGGGCGAGTTGTTGGTGAATTTACAACTGGAGGAGAACGAGGGAGGCGGTTTCCTGACACGGCGCGGGTAGGTCGCGGGCATAAATCACAATGAAACGTACGGCTCATTATACTTGCAGGCACTCGTGTAATTGCGACGGGCGTGTCCACGCGTATTTACTCGCCACAGATCCGACGCGACGTTTCGATGCTCGCCAACTCGTGCACGACGACCGACTTTGCGCACCGTTTCTCCCCGTGTTGTTTCTCTGTCCTCTTTTCTCCAGGAACAGCGTCACGACCACGTCCAACGCGATGCTTTTCGCGAACCGGAAATACCCGGCCGGATATAGGCGTGACCCGTGCCCCGCGTCTTAAATGCAACCCCGAATTATACCTTCTCATTTATAACAATTGTACTCACCACGATCGCCAGTATGCTGTCCTTTCTCTGCTAAAATTATCCGATGTCGTTGGACGAAAAGTTTGGGGTGTTCCGATAATAATGGACCACTGAAAAATGAAATTTATTAATGTCAGCATGATGAGACTAAATTTTGCAGACGTAGGTTTTGAAGATTCGTGACAAAAATTATTTATCGTAGACAATTTTTTCTTTATATAACAATATAAAATAAATATAAAATATATATTTTATAAATATAAATATAAAATATAAATATAAAATAAATTTTATTTAATTAATAAGTTTATAAAATTATAAAATTATATCATAAAACTAATATTAATAATTGATATTAATAAGTTTATAAAATAAAATAAGTTTATAAATATAAAATAAATTTTACTTAATTAATACGTTTATAAAATAAATGCAATAAAAATTATCAAATTCTTCGAAGAAATTGTTTCTTATTAAAGTAGCTTTCATTATTCAAACTGCTTAAATTACGGAAAGCACGCCATTGCACGACTGAATTCTTCTACAGTATAATGAACAAATAAAT